CAGAGATGGAGCTAACATATTTGGTTGGATTGATGTGAGTTTGTGACCCTGGATTTGTCTGATGATTGCAAAAGCGTGAAACCCAGGGTCACAAACTCACATCAATCCAACCAAATTATATATATATTTACTAGAATACAGTAATTTTGGGACAAAAAGCCCAGCTGAAAATCAAAGGTAAAAAAGAGTGCGCAACCAAAACATTTAAAAAGAATCTGTCATATGTGTGAGAAAAGAAATAAAATGAAGAAAAGCAAATTGAACGACAGAAAAATTAACTAGGTTTTATGGTAAAGAAAGGTTTTATTTTAATTTTAGTGATTTGGGCAGTGGCTGAAATGGAAAAACAAACAGCTTACCAGAAAGAAGTTAAAAACCCTTTAAAGTAACTTCAGTAGGGAGTTGCTGTGTTTTGTTGTTTTAGTTTACATGTCAGGTCAGCGAAGGGCAATAAATGGACTGCACTCAAGCAAGTTACGACAACAACTGACTTTTCCATTCAACTTAATTCTGGCGTCAACTAATAAACACGAATACCTGGATAAAAGACCTTCACTTGTAAGGTCATCCAGCCACATCAAATGACCCAGAACTTGGAGAAGTTTAACTCACAAAAACAGATTCTCTTAATACTAATCATGCACAAAATTCATCTGGCAAGAAGGGCCAGGCCAAAAGATGAAAAATAAAGCAATACATACCCAAAAACAAACTTCTGTCAAGGAAAATAACTGAAATTTATATGATAACAACCATGATGTGTCTCCCACATAGTGTGATGCTACAGTATTAAAAGAATGCATGCTTGGTCCATTCACAGGTTTCACATTGTCAACAATGATAAAACAGCCCAGAATACATCACTGGATAATGCTTATTGTTTGGCCAAAATAGCAATTGCTTAAATATGTATACCATTGTTTAATATCTGTCTATATTTCTGAAATAGTGACCATAGTTTAAGTTACTTGAAATCAAAATATCCTTCAACTGTGAATAGTAACTTGACATTAAAAACTACTTTTATTTCAATACAGCCAATACAGGCTTATACAGCAGACCCAAAAGTGTCACCCTCCTCTCGCAATGCTATTTAAGAAAGAACTAACCATCAATGGTAAGACAGAATGTATAGTTGTCAACAAGAGGAACAGCCCAGGATGTGAGTTACAATTTGGAGATATCAAAATCAAGCAAGTATAAAAATTTAGATATCTGGGAAAAGTTTTAACAGATGATGGAAAATGTGGCACTTAAATTCAAAGGAGCATTGAAATAGAAAAAGGTTTTCTTCCAAAAGCTAAGCAAAGTATTAAGAAACAGGAAAATTTTATTAGGAACAAAGAAAAGACTGCCCAACAGCTATGTAATAACAGTCCTGTATGGCAATCATTTCTGGATAATTTCATGAAGAGGAGACTAGAGGCAACAGGGACATGGTTTTAAAGAAGGATGCTGAAAATACCATGGATGGTGTATGTTAGTAAGGAGGAAGTTTTAAGGAAATAGAAATAAAAATAAGGCATATATTTAGAATCAAAAAGAGACAGGTGAAATTTCTAGGATACATATTAAAAAAAAAAAAGGGCTTGGAAAATTTGACGCACAGGACATAGTGAAGGCAAATGGACAGAGAGAAAGAGTAAGTGACCTACCTAACAATCATGTGTAAATGGATGGCAGAAGAGGAAAGTGGAGGATTGTAAAAAGACAACCATTTCTAAAAGTTACAAAGGATAGGAAGTTGTGGACCGTCATGAATATTAGGTACAGAAAAGAAAGTTGTTATGAATAATCAAGATGGTCTCCCCTTGTTTCGTTACTATCCCCTTTGAGAGATCTATTTCTGTTTACTGGGACTATAAAAGGACACTATGCGCACACCTTGTATACTTAGTTGAATAAAACTTTTTTAAAGCCTACACCTGCGTACTTTTGTCATTACAAAAATGTCACCAAGTTGCATTAGATTTTACTTTTTGGTACAAAATGCTAAGTAGAATAAAGATTTTTGTTTGTAGAGAACCGTTTTGTACCTGTTCAATTTTAAATCAGTCTAACTGAAACTAGTTTTTTTTATAAACTTGAACATACGTGTATCCTGTATCCACACACCCCCAGGCATTTACAGTTTTTTTTTTTGTTTTTTTTTTTATGTATACCGTGTATACGTGTACACACCGAGTGTTGTACACACATACATCACCATATCTGTGGATATAGCCTTTTTTCATTGTCCACAACAGAAGTCGTTGTAGAAGAGGAAAAATATACAGAAAAATAAGTTTTGAAACTTAAAGCATAAAAAAAAATTGGTTACGTTTTAATACGAAAACTAAATCAAATTATAAAAGTTACTAAAAACAAAACAAAAACAAAAAAAACGAAAAAAAACTAAAATTAAATTAAAAAAAACGATAAAAATCAAAAATACTTACCAAATATTCTTTTTGATTTGATTACGGTTGGCATCAGGTGTGAATATATTTTTTGACTCCATAACAATAAAATTAAAGGCAAACAAATAACAAATTCACTAAAAGTGGCATGAACTTGAAAGTTAATATTTATTAATTTATTTACTAATACAAACTTTTTTTTCGCGATAATGAACACTAGAACTAGAAGTGCATAGAGAAATGCTACATATCATTTTCTTTTTGGTATATTTGTTGAACCATTGAAAGCAGTTTTTCACCATTTCAAAATAAACAAAAAAGAATCAAAATTCAAAATTTTGAAATCCAACAACAAAAAGTGGGAGAAAAACAAACAAAAAACCCCCAAAAACAAATGAAAACAAGTTCCCGCGTCTTTAATATCGGAAATAAAAAATAATTTAATTCTCTGAAATTATATATAATTCTCTAATTTCGTTGGTGTTCACACTTTTTATAGTTACAAAAAAAAAAAAAAAAAAAGAAGAAGCAAATATTACAAATTTTAAATTTAAACCGAAAATTAAAGTTCAACTAATGAATATTATGTTCTCTACGGCTATCCAATATGAATAATACCAAAATCTCTTCGCCATACGATAAACATTTTGACAATGTAAAGAAAATATAATTTGGGGCTTGAAAAACTGCAATTAAATGAAACAAGATGAAATTAACGACAGAAAGATTAAAAAAAGATAATATGGAAATGATTTCTATCAATTCAGTCAAAGATATTCCACGCCCAACAATCAATTTCATGTACGATCAGGGAGAACAAAATGAAAAACAACAGTAACACGCTTACCAAGAATACTAAAATATTTAAAATGTTCTTTAAAACTTTGTAAAATGATTTTATATGAAATAAATGTAATAAATTTATCTTTCGCGTAGCCTTTAGCGATACTTGATATATTTGGATGGCAATTTTAATTCAATTTTAAAATGAAGCCCTTTAATAAATGTTTCGTCTCGGTCCAAGTTATAATTGTAATTCCGCTATTTGTAAATGCTCTTCCATGTCCGGTAACTCTTATTGACAAACAAAACATCGTCCATTCAAATTTTCCAAATTTGTAACAATTAAATATTAATTTTGGATAATTTTGAACTTTATAACAAGAAAAAAAATCAAATTTGAAATCCTTTGCATATATCAAAATAATTTTTTTTATCTGCTGCACAATTTTGGAATTTACTTCAGTCGGAATATCATTTCTTTTTTTTTTTTTTTTTGGAAGTGAAGTGGACCTTCTGACGTGTGTGGAAAACTGAAATAATTGGAACTGTAAAAACAAAAAAATGAATATTAAATAATAAAAAAAAACCCGCTGCACTTACAAAAAAGGTAAGGTGACAATTTTGTAAGTTTTCTTGTAATTGATTTAAAAATAATTTCTATTTGAAGCATTTTTTTTAGGGGGAAATGACTTGTTAATCTCTCAATTCGAATAAACGATGTTTTTATATTTTAAGGGAGACAAAGGTGTTTAAATTAAACAGTTTAATGTTTGTTAGTGTTTACCATTTCATTTTCTTTTAAGAAGTTAGGATTTGCTTTAAAAATCTTTTGCGTATTTTCCTTATACTTATCTAAAAACAAATTTATCGACAAAGAAAAACAATTGAAATAGAAAATTATTTAATAAATATTTTTACTTTAATTTCTTTTAGTTTTGTTTGCTGAAAATTCTTTTTAAAGAAAGTTTTTGTGAACGACTGAAACTAAAAGTAAGGATGTAGAATTGACATTTTTTTTTTTTTTTTGGTAAATTGTAAATATTGGTAATTATAAAAAAAACATTAATGTAAAAGTAAAACGTCAGATTTGAAAATGTACTTGACTTCAAAATAATTATAGAAAAATGTTTTTAAATTAACTCAAATTCCGGAAAAATATTTTTAAAATATGTATCCAAAAGCAAAGGATTAAGTAAAGTTGCTTATTTGAGTCAAATTTACTCAGCAAGAAAGTTTATTTTTTTTAGGGAGAATATTGTCAACAACAACAATTGAATATTTTGATGTTAACAAAAATGTGTCCATATTTTTTAAAATTTTTAAAATAAACTTTTTTCGTTTTTTGTTTTTCCATTTTTTGTTACTTGAATAATAATAATAATAATAATGAAGAAGAAGAAAACTAACATACAGAGGTGAGTTCTTGAATAATGAAAAGACTTGCTGTCACTTGATCTCCAATGTCACCGCGTGAATATTCAATGAGCACTGTGTGAAATTTGTCCCGGCTTTCCCATATGAAAGGGTTAAGGTGATACAATCGATAAAAGCAACAATGGCTTGAATATTTAGAACGGGCAATTCTCTCTTTTAGTTGGAAAAATAAAGAAAGACTCAAACGGGGTGGTAGCACCTGTTAGGGTCCCAACTCTGGGTAAATAGTTAACCCACAAATTGGGGTCAAAACGCTATAAAAGTGTAAAAATACGTTTTAACACCAGCAATAAATTTTTTGAGGAAAAATTATTACCAGTAATACTTTTTTGAAAAAAAAATATTACCAGCAATAAAAATCCTGTTGGCATTAAATAACCCAATGAGGGTGATATGCCACAAACCAAACCAAACCAAAGACTCAAACTCCTGCTCGGGACGAGGTGTAGCAACAGAAGAAAATGTTTATTTACATACACAAAAAAAAAAGGTAACGGTATATATACAAAATATGAGAGAAAGAAAGGAAGAAGAAAAGTCCTTACACTTAAAAGAAGAAACAGTGTTCATATAAAGGCTTGCTCAAAATGTTTCTCTTAGTGCCTAAAACTTCTTTAAGCAAGTAAATTGTTCTTAATGGGTTAACGATTACATATGATTTCTTCAAAGCACTTGTTGAAGGGGGAACAATCAAAAGATCTGTAGTTTGTAGTTGAGTGAGTTCGTAGCAGGGGCCGACAACAAGAATTTCAAAGACCAAGGAAGCAGGTCTCAATTAGTTTTTAGTAGAGGACTGACGTTCTGTTTTTAGTGCCCAGCCTGTAGACTTCTTCCTTGAAACAGGTTCCGAAGATGACTGGTGTTAATATTGTTGATTGATGTTATCACTGATGATGTCAAATATATTATTTATTGCAGAAATGTGCAGATGTGGCACAAGGCCAAAAATTGGGGATAAGCAAGGCTGGTCTTCATCTATCTTATACTTAGCTAGCCACAATCACTGACCCAAATATGCCACAATAATCCTTGCACCAAAACAAACCATTCTTACTACATCCACCATAATACCTCAGAGTCTCTCTGAAGTCCTAACTAGTTCCCATATGTACAGATTTGTCTGTGGGGGGAATGAAATAACAACTTTTAAAAATTTATAACCCCATTAAATATTTACAATGAAAACAAGGTTTATATACAAGAAACAAAACAAAACTGTGTTAGTAATAATCCCCCCACACAATCCTTAAAATGTGGCAGAAACATTAGTTAATTGGACAAGATTAATTAATGCAGGACACTCACTCAAACACACACTCATCCAAACAACAACAAAAACGAAAATACACACTTGAAAATTGAAAGTCATCCTGCTTCCACCAGAGAACTGATATCTCTGATCACCTAACAGGGGAAGGGTGGGGAAATTTAACTAAAGAAAGTGGGGTCAAAAATAATTAAAGGTGCCAATCAGCATACATAAGTTAACTTTGATGAAAAAAAAACAAAAACAAAGAAAGCCTAAACTACCCTATTTTGGGCAGGTCTGCGAATATTTGATGGAGTTGTTTCCTTTCTGTCCTAATTTTGACTTTAAGCCGGTGCCTAAAAAACAAGATTAGTTGGGAAGAGGTAAACTTCTTGTCCCCATAGAACTCCTTCTGTTGCATCATCCATATCACAATTTGCATAATAACTAGTAAGCAAAAGAACAAATAGTGCTCCGCCTTAGTCAATGATGGTACGACATTACTACAAACAGTACTGGCCTAAAGGATAAAGAACTTTCTGTGCAGCATGCAAACCATGTCGTCTTCAACAAACTTGCACAATGAACCTACAACCCTACAGTGGAAGAAGGTATGATTGAGTGTCTCTACTGCCTCTTTGTAGCAAATGCAGTTTGGAGATTTTTCCAAGCCTGCCAAACAAAGTCTCTTGCCAACCCAGAGGGCCTTTTGAATCACCAACCATGTGAATGATGCCTCAATGTTAGTGAGGCGTTTTAATCTGGGTGCCCAAGTGCATATGAAATGGGTCTCTTGCCTTGATAGGTGTGTGAAATCCTCTTGAAATGGCTTGAACAGAAGAGAAGGGCTGCTAACAACCCTCTGGTATATTCCATCCTAGCACATGATATAATGCCTTATGGGACAACACTTGGATGTCAGAGAGGCCATCCATTGCCTGTAAGAGGAACTTGAGAGCAAACTGACATTCATGATAGAAAAAGCACTTGCATCAGAGTAAACAACAGGCCTCTTCCTCACACTAGTACACACTTTTCAGGGATGGGAAGTTCTTACAGATGTTTCCTTCCAGAATTCGCCATTCTCATCCAGTTGCAAACACATCTGGTCTTAGAAATGTGAAGCATATGTTGACGAATCTTAATGAAAGGGATACCCAAACTGCCTTCAGAAGGGTAGAGGTAACAGATCTCCTGACATACCTTGGGAGCCTTGCCTCCCCACAAAGAGAACAAGAGCCTTACTAATAGTGTAGCAGATGGGAGTGGAAGTAAGGAGAATCAGGTAGATGTGCGAGGAACATACTTCTGCCCTCCCCTTTAAGGAAAGATTCCTCTGGGACCACAGATGAGCTGCAACTTCAGCCTTCTCCTGCACCTCTGACCAATTCATTTTCAAGAGGAGATTGGGACTGAACCAGACGCTGTGTATCTTGATTAGTCTGTCCATCCAAAGGAAAGGCCTGGAAAGAGAAACTCACTTTCACGTACACAACTGCAAATCAACAGACTTATTGCAGTTGATCTTGGACCCTGTCACTGTCTTGTACTGTCTGATTGCCAGCTTTGTCAGTTTGCTTGGCACAAGAACTCAACAATTGTCAGCATAGGCGGCTGGGGTGTTAGCACCAGGGA